ATCATTAATACTAAAAAAATGTAAAACAATATGATTATGCAATAGTATAAAGGCAACGCCATAATATAAATTTATGAAAATGACCCTGTGCTTCCAATATACATGTACATGAGTTAACATCAATATTATAATAACAGCAATCAAGCAATACATGAAAGCTGTCGGCAATCTGGTTGCTTACAAGCATTTATGCTTTCTTAGCAGTCAGGTTTAACCATCACATCACAAACAACTATAAGACGGCACTGACATGCGACCTTAGAACATGAGAGAAAACAGGCTAAACTGGTAAAATATCAAATTAATAACATAATTGAACATGAATATCACAAACTACAGATTTACCAGTGGAGAACGGATTAGAAATAACCATACTCAATGATTATTTATGTCTATAATATGTTGTTTATTCATCTTTATTAAAGAAAATGCATATAACATAATAATAAAGATGTTACATAAACCCAGGTCAGAGATTTGAATTACATTTGACGCATCTCATGCAGGGTAAAACAATTACAATACACAATAACAAAACGGAAAGAAAACAGTATAACAGAAAAGAAAACATTATATATATATATATATATATATATATATACACACATATACATTGCTGAAAGACTTGTTTATTGCACTATAGATATCTTGTATAGATATTTCACACATCACAAATATTTCATTTCATTCTCTTTCTTTAACATAATGATATTTGTCAACCTACTTCAATCGCTTTAATAAAGTTGGGTTCGTATCATAAGATTGAATAGTCAACGGAATTGATTGCAAGTGATTAGAAAAGTAATGTTGCATAAAACTGTGTATTGTGAGGTTATGGGGTCATCATTTCAATAAGAACATTTTTGACTTAGTCTTGCTTGAAAGCCACATAGAATGTTCTCTTATTACTACACAAACATTTGGTATGAAATTTGGTCCTGATATTACGGAAATTAATTGTCATATATCCACTATGTAAACATTTACTGAGCCATGTTTTCTGGGTATATTTCTTTTTGTGGTCTTCTTCCACACCAACAAAAAGAAGAATGAAGACGACTCAGAATTTATTTTTGGCCTCTCCCAGAGCTCAACCTATAATTTAACATGATAAATTGGCAAACGTCAAAGAATGAATTTGAAAGCCATCAAGGAAGTGGGGTCTGACGGTTTGTCTTCTTCTTTCTCTTCCTTGAACGTCCATCCAGAACATCATCCTCAGAAACATGGCTCATTGTTTATCCCTTCTTGTTCAATCATCTTCATCTGCAGATCAAGGAGGTGGAGTCACTCGATTTGTCTTTTTCTTTCTCTTCCTTGGACGTCCATCCAGACTTTCATCCTCGGAACCCTGGCTATATTTATATATGAAAAAAAAAATTAATCGACACGTTATTAGTCGAACCAAAAGTAAGGGGTAAAAATAAAAGGTTTGTTCGGCGTTAACCCTTACTGTACTGAGCACCTCCGTGATCTCGGCAGTCAAATGTCCGATTAACATTAAATTTGCATGCTTGTAGATATTCACATGTGGAACAAGATGGTATAATTAGTTTGTTCCAAAAATGCAAATTTTTGTATATAGCCTAATTAACTACGCAAAATGCTATTTTTATGCATTTAAAAAAAAACTCTACATACCGTATATGTCTCTAGACTTGTGAAGAATCTTGAAAATGTATTGAATAAATGGTTCGTTCATTTCTAATTCATGAAGTTTCATTATTTTTATGTTTAAAAATGCATAGGTTAATTTGCATCAATTTTGAATACGCAAATTACGCATTCATGAATGTCAAAACTGCAAATATATACAGGGACAAAAATTGTCAGACTCCACTTTTTGAATGTTGAAACTCATTATTCACATGTAACTTCTTTTCTTACACAAAATATTTATTTTAGTGATTTTTGTTGTTTTTGTTGTTTTTGTTGAAAGTAGTTTAGCACTGTGAGCAAAGCCTAAAACAGTAATTTCAGCCACTTTCTCACTGCAGAATGATATTTCTCCACTACCCATCTGCATATCACTGCTTATATCTGAATAAAAAATTCGAAATTCATCATTTTGTTTTCTGATGTATTTTTTAAATTTTTTTATCATATGTATTGTTTTATTTCTAATGTATTCTTATGTTCTGGAATACATAAAGTCACTTTGAGATTTTACATATCAAAGCAATTTGATATCAATTCATATCTCCCACTTACGACAACATACATCTAAATCTGTATTCACATTTCTGCTTGTATGTTAATCTATGCAATTATAGCACTTTTTGATGACATGCGCATTCTAATTGTTATGAATACCTTAAAGGTATAACTGATTTCGACAAAAATATTATGAAAATGTGCGAAAAAATGAGGGAAAAAATTAATGAAACAACAGTTCATGTTGCACCAATTAGAAGCTTTGCATAATTACTTTATATACTTCGCTAAATCTCCAACCTCTGCATCCTGTAGGAATTTCTCAAGCTCGTTCATATTACCACCAGTCCTTGTCTTCCACTGTGCCAAGCAATGCCTTGTAGCTCTCTGGTAGTCCATGTTAAACCTGGCTAGGAAGCTGTCGGCTTCAGTGTATCCAATGCCAAGATGTGTGCATAGCGTTGTGTAAGTCCCATGAGGCAGGTGTTTTGATAGTTTGTCAAGTTTTCTATCTGATTCCAGATTATTCCTGAGGAATGAAAGAACGAGTGATGCAATCTGATGGTGTCACTTTATATGTATGGGGGCCCCCTTTCATTAATGGGGATGTGAACCCTGATGATAAGTTTTTTTTTAAAGCAGAATTTTTTCGTGGGTTAATTGTCGTGGGGGGGGGGGGTACTTGTTCGACTGATAATTGGCTGGGGGGTGATTGTCCAGGGGTTTTCGTCCTAGAACCCACACAAAGTAGCCTACTTTCATGAACACAGGTACATATTCATTCACATGTTTGCTAACATCATTTGGAAATTTTGACCCAGGACTCATGCATACCGACTGTACAAAAGTTATATCTGAACCTCTTTATAAAATAAAAGTTGGTGTGGTGCCCTGTATCATGCATACACAAAGTCAAGATGAAGTGTTACCAGTGGGACACTGTCTTACTCTACCGATACCATAGCAACTAGACTTCATACTTTGATTGCTTCTCTGAAATTTCAGAATCATCATGTGGAGCTCTTGACTGAGTAGAAGGAGCTTTCCTCTTGCAAGGCCCGCTCCGACTTCTGCTACCTTCTGATTCCAGATCAGTCCTGAGGAATAAAAGAATGATTAATACAACCTTTGCAACCTGATGGTGTCACTTTATTTGGATAGGTCTAAGAGTGGAGCGCAACGCGAGTCAAGTTTGAAATCAAAAGTGCTACACTAAAATCCACTATTATTTGGTGGTCTGTCTTACCGTAAAATGATACTGGAATGAAAGAAAAATCACTGCAGAATAAAGGAACCTGTACAAGATTATGATGTTGATTCGACAGGATAAAAATACTGTTGTTGGCAATGGAACAGCTGATCACGGCGAAGGTGAAAGTCTACTTCCGTACTAGAATTATGTCCCGGCATGCTTTGCGATGAAACAACCGCGAAGGCACGTATTACAAGAAAAAGTAATGCAGATTAAAAAATCCAATAGAAGCAACAACAAAACAAAAAACAAAAAGAGTACATGTAGTGTTGAACACTTGGACATATATTGGTTAATACATACGGTGGTAGCCTTGACACCAATGCTGTTTGTGCACCGTCATGCATTGAAGAGCATGTTGCTGCTGCTGCTGCTGTTCTTGTTGTATCTTTTTTTAAACAAGAAAATATGAAAAGATAGAAGATTGTAAATTCATAAAAAGCCAAATCCAATATGGGTTATGTCATGAAAGCACAATATATAATCAGATTTAGTCCAGATTCAATGACATGACATAATAATATTTCTGTAAGGCACCTAGAGACATCTAATATGTATATATACCCATAATATTATTCTTAATTGTAGAACACAATATAGGAAAAAAAATATATCTGCTGATATTCATTGCTTATTAATTGTTTTTAAGATACTTTTGGGCTCCATATTATATTTCTCTGTATTAAATAGGGTAGGGGAAACCCAGGTACGGGTTGACGCCTGCACATCCCAATCAGTTAACCAGGGAAGCGAGATCCCAGGCATGAGTATTAATATTAATATTAATAATAATAATGACAACATTCACAACAACAAAAATGATCACAACAAACAACAATGACAATATACAGTAGGCTTACGGTTGCACCATGTGAGATAGAAGAGGATTGGGGAGTCCTGAAAAGGACTGTCGGTAATCTTTTTTTGTGAGTGTGTTTGTAGTCCTAAAAAGAACTGTTGGTAATCTTTCTTGAGCTTATAGTTCTAAAGAGAATCGCTGACCTTGTGATCGACAGTCCGGCGACGTATCCACTCGACCACAACACCTCTACAATATAACATCTATTGAAAATCATGCGACCAACAATCATCCAATCAAATGACAAAGATCCACGTAGGTGTTGTATAAAATACAATAATGCACATGCTGCAGCTGAAAAGCTGATATGCATATGTTTACACCTATCGAGGATACACATAAATTGAAAAGAATATCCATTCGACAAAACATATCTACATAATTGTCGTACAATGAAACCATGAAAGCTAAAATACTGGTCTGATTAAAAGGCAACTGTTCAAATAAACAAATAAAAAAGATACTGGGTGCGTAAATAAAAACTTAGAACAATCAGCGATTATTAAGAAGATGAATAAAATATGGTATTGAACTTTGTTTAAAATGAGAGGACCTGCATTTATATCGACTATACTTTTGTTTATTTTGTAATGACATGCCAACAATTTTTCATTGGAATCCAGCCTTTGCATTTTGGGTTTTTAATTAGAAATACAGCAAAACAACTCATAATTTGTCTTGCCTTATTTGTAATCGTTCTAGTTTGCATCGTTTTAAGGCGTCTTCATAATTTATATAACTTTCACCTAAAATGATTTTACATACCGGTACTTATAAGCACTACCGGTAATGACAATAATGATGATAATAATGATAATAATTTTGATACACAAAGAACTACACAGAGCATATACGTACCACCATATGGCAAGATAAATTGAATCAAAGTAGGGTCAGAGAGAGACTCTCTTTGATTCAAGGTGAATTTGAGAATTTCTGGGCTTGCCCCTGACTCAAGTGGCTTCAGTTCAAAGGCGAATTGTTTCCTACCAACGAGGTTGATATCCTTTCTACCTAGTGTCTATTTTAAAAGAAAAGGGAATTCAAGGAAATTAGTTTATTTACAAATTCATTTCCATTAAAAAACGACTTTTAATGTATAACATGTAGTTAAAACTCCATCACGCCTTTGAATAAAAACAATCATTTTCAAATTGTGTATAAATCACATAATCATGCATGGAGAAACGGGAATAAAAAAATAAAAATAAGAAGGTGTGAGAAAGATAGAGAGGGACAACAGGGCAAAAGGCATTAAAATGCCCTGTCTGCTGGTACGTAATGCCCTGTCTGCTGGTCCCTCTTGAATCAAATTTTCTTAGTTCTGTGATTTAAAGGATGCAAAGTTATTGTGAATTACTCACTTTTATGAAAATGAAATTGAAATCACTGATGATAAGAATTAAGCAGAAATGTAATGAAGATACTTGAAATACACTGGACATAACAAAAGATATGAGAGTAGAGTTTTCAACCAGTGTAGCTGTGCACAGACTGTATTTTACTATTTAAACTTCATAATGTTCTCTAAATATACTGTTTTTATAAAAAACTATTATAAGCATCGAAAAGGAAGACCCTCCCTTTTTTTAATAAAGAACAAAACAGACTTAACAGAAAGGATGTGGGTGCATTTGAGGTGTATTGGCATGTAATATTGAATGAAATAAAAATAAAAATTATGAAGAACAAATAAAGTGTGAAGGAGCACATGTGTGCTGGTGCGTGTGTGTGTGCAAGTGTCTATGTTACGGGGGGAGGGGGTAGAAATGGCAATACAATAAATGAGATCCTTACATTTCATTTATTTATCCACACCTCTAGCTTTTAAATACAGATACCTGCTCATCAATTTTCTTTTCATTTTTCTTTGGGCCCTCGAACAACTTGATATCGATATCTCCATGCTTCCATTCTACGAACATTGGCTGGGACGGAAAGATCATCTTGACCCCTGTCATTTCTTTTTCTATTTTCTGTTGAAGGAAAAAACAAATTATATAAGGTCTAGAAGATCTCTCGATCTCTCTCTAACAGTTAAAAAATAAAATATTCATACCCTTAAAAATCTATGGAGTTGTTTAAGTATGTGGAAAATTGATTTGTTGTCTCTATACATGTGTTTATATTATGTAGACAGATGTATACAAAAATATATTATTATTATTTTTTTTTGTAATTTCAGTGGCGAATTCAGGGGACAAATTGAGTACCGATAAATAGAGAAAATATGTCATTATTTGTGCCCCCTGTTACTAATTAAGACTACAATTAAGACTTTGGTTTCTTTATTTTCTGGGAATTTCGGGAAAAAAATTATAATCTCATTCTGAATTTTCTTGTTTAATTATCTGTTTTTTGCCTTTAAAATTCTTGTAGAATATCTGCCAACAAATGTAATCATGGGGGGGGGGGGGGGGTGCTTGGTAAATTTTCGATTCCAATACCTACCCCCCCCCCCCCCATCCAAAAATTATCCACTGACACCCCAACGCCCTAATCTCTGCCTCACCTCAAAAAAACCTGAGAGATCGTCATAGATGCAGAGATAAACAAAGTGGTAGGACTCTTTCCAGACAGGTGGTCGTACATATGGCAAGCAGTTGACCCTCTTTCCAACAAAGTACCAATTGTATACACTCACAATCCACCAATCGCAAAAATGATCTACGTAGAGATCCAAGTCTTTTGCTCTGACAGTGCAACGTGGGTAACGGCTGGTGGATGCAGGAATTCTTACAAAAGATTCTGAGTCTACAAAGACAAGATTTATGACAGAAATATTTAGTCTACATTAAAATTGCACATTACATGTATTACCATTTGCAAAATCATTATTAAATCTATGAAAAAAAGATATATATATATATATATAATCCTGCAAGTTATTGAGAGACAGCATATTAATATCTCTGCTTCATCTTTCACAATAAAAACGAACCAAGGTCATCAGCCCATTCCTCTTTCTTTTCTTCCACCTATTCTATCCCCTTATTTTTAGCCAGGGAGGGTGTCATGTCGCCTAGGTGCCCCCATCGGATCAACCACTGGTCCATATATCAGTTATCATGAAGCTTACTGAATTAAATCAAATTAAATATGAAAGGAAGCTGAAAGTGATGTGTATTATCATATTTTTTTAGGTTTAACGATACTTTTACTTATATTCATTGGTATATTTCTATGTTAAAATATGGTGTTGTTAGATATAGTGCTGTAGCCAAATTACCGAACCGAACATGGCACTTCCGAAGCAAACCAAGCCGAGCCGAGCCGAACGAAAAATGTAACTGTTTTCGCAAGCTAATTAACTTGTCATTTTGTAATAAAATAATAATAATAATAACTTTTACTTATATAGCGCTTTTCATAAGACATTTATATCAAAGCGCTTTACAATATTGATACAAGTAAAACTAAACAGAGTAATGACAAGACAACAAATTTAAAATGAAATTAGCAAACATAAGATAACAAGGTAAGGTAACAATTTAAGAGCTAGGTTGAATATGCATTTTTCATTAGGTAGGTTTTAAATTTTGAACTTAACAAAGTAATATCAGAGATGGAACGAATGGAGTCTGGAAGAGAATTCCACAAACGTGGAGCAGAGCATGAAAAGGACCTATCACCAAAGTAATTTGTTTTTTGCTTTTTTTTTAATGGTCAAGAGAGTTTGATTTGAAGAACGAAGGGGCCTATTGGGTGTGTATAACTGAATCAGTTCAGAAAGATAATTTGGGGCATGACCATGTAGAGACTTGAAAGTTAAAAGAAGAACTTTGAACTGGACGCGAAAGTGAATGGGGAGCCAATGCAATTGTTTAAGGGTTGGTGTAATTTGGTCATGTTTTTTGGTGAGAGAAACTAGACGTGCTGCAGAGTTTTGGATTCTCTGCAGCTTGGCAATATCTTTTTACGGAATTCCATGGAGCAGGCTATTACAACTGTCAAGTAGTAAACTGATAAATGCGTGGACGAGGATTTCAGTAGATGACTTGGAGAGAAACTTACGAATTTTACCAATTTTTCTCAGGGCGAAGGATGCTTTACGACAGATACTATTGACATGGGGGTGCATTGAAAGGTTTTGATGAAACGTAACACCTAAGTTAACAACTGATTTGGAAGAATCTATAGAACCATTGGTTAATTGAATTGGAGGGAGTTCTTTTGTATTTCTTCTTCGGTGACAAAACAGGTGTAGCACTTCCATCTTGTTGTTGTTCAAGAGCAGAAAGTTTTCAGTCAACCAGGAGCAAATGGCATGTAGACAATCTTCCAGTTTCTGTACCATTTGAAGTGTACCTAATTTTCATTTCATGATTGCTCATTCTATATTTGCTTTTTGCCCCATTTTCCTTCTTTGTGATTTATGCCTCTCCAGTGGTGGGCGCCACTTCACTGACACCATTTAAATCCCAAATCCTGACCTCTGCAACGTCATGATCGCAAGCTATAAACATGAACACACGTGCCTACTAGGCGCTGATCAAAACAAGTTCGGCTCAAACCCAATCCATACAAAAATGAATATGTTAATTGTAAAAATATCGAACAAATTTTACAATATAAATAATGAAATAAATATATATTATAGTATTTTAATTTATTTATTCTGGAAAAATATGATTTTTAAAATAAAAAATAAACATTTATAAGAACAGTAATGAAACAAGCCTGGGCTACTATCTCTGTGTATACACCAGTGTACAGTTACAACAGTGCACATGCGCAGACATGGGTGCCATTTTAACTCACGGGTAAACAACCACTGACCTCTAGAGGTCAGTGGTTTACGCGTAAATTAAGACGCCGCGCATGCAAATATGGTGTGAGCGCACGGCGCAGGCAGTGACGCAACAATACAGGCGCATCTGAAGACATTGATGATATCACTGCCTGCGCTGTGCGCTCACATCATATTTGCATGGGCGCTATCTTAATTTACGCGTAGACCACTGACCTCTAGAGGTCAATGGTTTGTTTACCCGTAAATTAAAATGGCACCCATAATCGTAAACTGGTGTATTATATCGTATACATCAGTATCAATATGGCAGCTTTCATGTATCGTAACATTGGACAACAACACTCGACAAATGATCATTTGTCGAATTGAAAACATGATTCTTGTACAATTGCAAATAAAACACTGTACAAGACACACTTTTTTCAACAGGTACAGGGTATTTAGAGTCCTCAAAATGCTACTTTTTAGTGGTTTTCGATAACCTCTGTGTCTAATAAAATGATATAATGCGAATAAAGAATAGGATCTATTATTTGAAGTTAATCTACGTTCCTAATTTCAAGGGAAGAGTATTTTTTTATATTTTTTATATTTTTAATCTATTAAGTCTTATGCACTGTGCCGGCCGACGCTCACACGTGTCTTCAGCTCACACACCTGTGTCTTGCAGCTCACTCACACAAGGTATGTTGACTCACCACTTGTCCAAATTTCTGTTTGGACTTGGAGAAAAATTTGTCAGTCACCTTTAGTATTAAAAACAACATTGTTACTATTATTTGTGACAAGTTCACAAGCACTTCAACTGCGTCTCGTAATAAGATAAAGGTCTTTCCAGCATGGGTACCCGGTAGGCAAAAATTATATTACCGGACCACGAACCTAAGTTTGGGTAAAAAATTGCTGAACTCTGCCGAACGGAATCGAATCCAAATATGGCGCCTGACTTACAGCACTAGTTAGTTGGAAAAGAAAATTCAGCTGCAGTGAAGGTTGTGGATCATTTATGGCTTGCAGTTCACTAGTTTCCTTTGGCAAGACACTAATCTACATACCACTTCATCCAGGTGATGTATATGGGTACCCGGTAGGCAAAAACACCTTGCATGCCACAACGCTTTATCAGAGTAGCTTGGTTAAAGGTAAAGACCAGTATTGGAAACGCCCCAATTTAAAAAAAAAATGAAATGGAAGCTCTTATTACCAATCTTGTGAAAGAATATGTTTTGACTAATACATGATGATACAAAATTTGCCCGGAAACCGCCTACTAATTGATATATTTGATAAATTAGTTTATCTATTGGCATGTGAGAGATAAACGCACGTGTCGCGCACGTGTGCGTAGTCCCATATACATCTTTCTGTGTACAGTGCTTGTAACTTTACAAAGACTGGGCCAAATTTCTTATCATTTTGGTGATTCAAGAACCTTGCAGAACACACCAATACTTATATGCTAGATGATCAACCTTTTCTGATCGATTCCACAACATTTCTTTCACAATGCAATCACATGACCAGAACTGGTCTTTATCTTTAATCCCACTAAGAATCATTAGCATTAAGCACAATATACACATTTATTTTATTATATTTTCCAATCCTCCTAACCTTTTGTACGTGTGTAGAAGACAATTTCTGCAAGTCTTGGATTAGAGAAATGTGCATTATGGTCCAATGTGACCTTGATAGGTTTGCTGAGCTCAGCTCCAGACGTTGAGAATCTGATACCACATGATATTACTGCTTCATCATCTTGGAGGGGAAGTTCTTCAGGAACGTCTGTCAGAAAAACCCAGTGGACTTGGTTGCCATCTAAAATATAGGAATACAATTTTTTTTTCATTTCTCAAACGTAAAAGATTGCGTAATCTACAAGAGTTATATATATATATATATATATCGTGTTAAAGATTGCATGATCTACATGACAACCTAGGCCTACCTATAGTAGGCCAACCTCGGCCAAGCTAGGTCAAAGTCATGTTACTCAAGGTCATTCAAGGTGAATGACTGGCAGGTCGTTAGATAGGTCGTCAGTGCCCATAGCTATTTGCAGGAATTAGAAGACCTTCTGCATTGTTTATCGTGAACAAAATGAATGGGGTGCATCTCTCAACTGTTCATCATGGCAGTCACTCGCCGTCTTTGATCATCCTCGCGCTCATTTGTCGTCGCAGTCGATGTTCGTCGTATAGCTTCTCTTCAGTCCTTGAATTCTTTCTTTGTATTCGGACTCTGGGCTAAGTCGAAGTGTAAATTTTAAATCTACAGAATCATAGCATTTGATTCATACTCTCATAAACTCTGAGAAGACAAAATTTAATTTATACGTCATATCATGATTTTATTACACGATATTGAAGTCGAGTATGGAATGCCTGCATTCTATTTGCAGTTACTGGTTCTTTTGTAAACGACACTGATGATGTGTCCTATTTGAGTTACATTAAATTGAATACTTATATAATATTGGATGGCTTTGGGTGCGATACAAGAATATATTGCTCGAGCTATGTACAATATTGGATGAGTCGAAGATAATTCTAATATTGTCTTTATAGCGAGAGCAATATATTCTTGTATCACAAGAAAACAAAGCCATACAATGTTATTATTATTATCTAATAGTCTGACTAGCCAAATAACAAAATTTGAATTACCTTGGCAAATATGGCTTTGTTTTCGTGTGATATCAATATCGATAGTTGAAGTTCCTGGATGACTGAGCAATACTAAATATATATAATATTGGTCAGTCATCCGGGTACTGCGCTAAAGATATTGAATACACTGATTTATTGAAACACTTGGAAGCCTTATATATATAATAATAACATATATTCCTGGAATCCTTTAGTATTATTATTATTATTCAGATTCAAGGTTGTTAAGTAACCTATTAGTATACTAGATTAATGAGTTAATTCACTCAAGCAATCGCACGCAACATTTGGGATTTTTCAAGATTTGTATGATGATCACCACAACCATCATCATCACTACCACCACTACCACAATCTTCCTCATCTCCATCCTTAGATCATACACCCATGTGCAAGTAGACAAAACTGAGGGAACGGTGGATGCGTGACTTTGTGTGGGGCATATATGTTAAAACAAAATGACAGAATTCAATGATGCTGCCAGCATGCATTATTTATTCTGCAAGTTGGCAAATTGCTAGCATGCAAGTCGGCTGATATTTTGAGGGAGAATTAAGAGGTCTATTTGTTTTTGAGTCACTTTTAAACTAAAAGTTTTCTATTCCCTCTTGGACTCCCCACATCTGACACTTTTGTCATTAATTTACACTTACCGTCTGTTGTGTCGAGGTGCAGCCTTCTTGATTCTTGGCTGTGAATAAAACATACACATCGCCATTAAACTATTAGTCCCTCGTTATCCTTTGAGTCTTGTGTTAGCAACATAACATTGGCTACAAAGATGTTGAGTATCAATCTAACCGCTCCTCCACCATTTTAAACGATGGCACGCCAGTTTTTTCTAACTACCTTGTTGGGAGCGGTTTGGACAGTGACGATGTAAGTTTGACAGACATGAGTGCTACTCTATAATCCACTATTATTATCATCATTATCAGTGTTATTAATGTCATTATCATAAGTTGTTATTACCAATCTAAGCAGTTATTATTACATTGTTATTATATTAATCCATGATTGTTATATACAGTGGGTTTGCGGGTGCACCATGTGAGAGAGAGAGAGAGAGAGAGAGGGCTGAGGAATCCTGAAAAGGACTCTGACTCGGTAATCTTTCTTGGGGGTGTGGTAGTCCTGAAAAGGACTGTTTGTTATCTTTCTTAGCATATAGTTCTAAGGAGAACTATAGCGCTTGGAGAGGATGAGTGGCTCGACGTTTCAAACAGGTTGACTATCCGTCGTCAGGAGTGGAGAATGGCTGGCGTGCGTGAGCTTAAGTCACCGGGGTGCGGACTTAAAAGAGTTTCGAGTCGATGAGTGGGGTGTGCTGTTGGCGAGACGCTGTGTGTGTCCCCGACGTAGGCGGCGTTGTAGTCTGTTGTCGTCTGCTGTGAATTGTAGCTGTGAGGCTGGCGGCTGCTTTGAGGGTTCGGCGGGAGGCGGTGGTTGATGTACGGGTGTCTGTCGGGGTGGTGAGGGCGGTGCTGGAGGCGGTGGTGGAGGAGGAGTGACCGGGTACTTGTTGATGAGGGGTTTCCAGATGCCGTTGATGTATAGTCCTGAGTCTTGGGGCACGGTGTTGTGGCGGTGAATTTCGATGGCTTCTCGGATTCGGCGTGTATGCCAGTGCTTCATTATGGAGATGAGATGACTGCTATCCCATTTGATGGTGTGTTCGTGTTGCTGGGCGTGTTTGACGATGGCGGACTTATCCCAATCGCCGAGTCTGAAGCTGGTTCTTTGCTCCTTGAGTCTTGTTTCCAGATTTCTCCCCATTTCACCAATGTAGACTTTTTCACATTCGCATGGTATTTTGTAGACTCCAGTTTCCTTGTGGTTTGGATGCTTGTCTTTGTGTGGGTGGAATGTCGAATGGAGTTTGTTGGAGGAACTGTGTCGAACTTGGATGTCTGCTGCTTGAAGGATATGTTGAATCTTGTGAGAGGCTTGACCGATATGGGGAAGAACAATAGTTTGCTTCGGTGGTGTAGCTGCGGGTTGGTTCTCTTCAGGGGTGGTGTTGGCTGCGGGCTTGTTGGCGGGAGTCTTGGATTTGATCTGATGTCTTGGGTAATTGTTGATGCTGGTTAGGGCTGTGGTGACATGCTGGATTTCCTGGTCTAGATGGTCTGCATCGCTGAGTTGATGGGCTCGGCGGATGAGGGCGTTGGGGACTGATCGTAGTACGGATGGATGGTGGAAGGATCTGTAGTGCAGATATCTATCGGTGTGTGTGGGTTTCCTGTAGACATGATGAGCGCGCTTGCCGGATGGTGATTTAGAAACGAGAACGTCTAGGAAGGGGATGCTGTTGTTTTGCTCGGTCTCCATGGTGAATTTGATGCTCGGGTGATGCTGGTTGATGTGGGCAAGAAAGTGGTCTAAGTCACGTCTGCTATGTGGCCAGATGACGAATGTGTCGTCGACATATCGGAGCCAGAGAGAAGGGTGTTGTAAGAGAGTCTGGAGTGCCGTTGTTTCGAAGTGCTCCATGAAGATGTTGGCTATAACTGGTGAAAGAGGCGATCCCATGGCTGCGCCTCGAAGTTGCTGGTAGTAATTGTCTCGCCATTTGAAGGAAGTTGAGTTGAGGCAGAAGTACGTACATGAGGTCATGTATTTCATCCGGTGTCAGGGGGGTTCTGTCGGGGAGAGTGTCGTCAGTTTCGAGGCGTTCTTAGAGGATTCGGCAGGATTCGGTGACAGGAACATTGGTGAAGAGAGATTCAACATCGAAACTGACCATGATGTCTGTATCGTGTATGGTGGTCTTGGAGATGACATCGACGAAATGCTTGGAGTTATTGATGTGGTGCTGCAATTGTCCTACGAGTGGTTGGAGAATCGTGGTCAGGTGTTTGGCTGTGTCATAGCAAGGTGATCCTCGGGTTGAAATGATGGGGCGAAGTGGAATGGTAGGTTTATGTATCTTCGGCTGGCCAAACAGGATGGGGCAGGTAGCTGAAGATGAGCGAAGTTTGAAGTAGAGTAGCTTGGATATGACTTCTGTTCTGTGAAGAGAGAGGAGTCGCTGGTTGAGTTTCCTTTCTGTTGCTAGTGTGGGATCTTTCTTTCATTGTTTGTAAGTCGGAGTCTCGAGTAGCGCACCGATCTTATTGTAGTCCCCTTTGTTCAGAACTACTGTAGCGTTGCCCTGGTCTGCCTGTAGAATGTGTATTGACTGGTTGCTGCGTAGATCTTTGATTGCTATAGTAGATTGCTATAGTAGATTGCTATAGTAGAGTAAAAAAAAATAACACCCTATTTTACATGAAACTAGACTCCCCAAAAATCTTCAAAATATGCCCCATTATTGAAAATAAAAAAGTGTACACATTAAAGTGGCCTTTAATGTGTAAACTATACATACTCATTCACATGTTTGCTAACATTATTTGAGAAGTTTTGACCCAGGGCTCATGCATACAGACTGTAAAAAGATCAATCTGAACCTCTTTTCCCCAAACAAGAGTCAGTGTGGAGCCCTGTATCATACATACACAAAGTCAATATGAAGTGTTACCAGTGGGACACTGTCTTACTCTAATGGTACTATAGTAAGTAGCCTTCATACCTTGATTGCTTCTCTGGAATTTCAGGTCCATCCTGTGGAATTGACTGAGTATGAGGAGCTTGCCTCTTCAAAGGTATGCTCTGACTGCTGCTACCTTCTCTGTATGTCTGAGGGAATTGACATACATATGGATTTAGATTTCCTAAGAATACAAGAAATCATTTATACATATAGAAACTAGGTGTGATGAAAAGAATATAAAAAGTACCATTCAAAGAAACAATGGATGATTTGCTGTTAAATTTGGCAATTGTAATTTCTATGATATTGTGGATTTTTTAAAATAAAATTAAGCTTCCAGAGATTGTAATTTTTGTTTGTCAGATTTCATATATTTGTGTTAACGAATAGATCATTTACGATCATTTTTATAGAGATGTTTTGTTTGATTTAATTTAACCTTCAGTCATTAAGTAAAAGGTAAGGCGCAACAAAAAAATTGTTGTATTGCCCTTTGCGACCGACCAAATTTTTTAAAAATCGTCTGTTGGCTTTGTATTAATTTTTTATTTTTTTTCCGTTTTTTTAGATTTTTTTTTTTATGAATAAGAAAATATGTATTACCGGGTATATGTATTATGTTTGTTTAACTCTTTGTTTGCTTTGTTCGCCGATTTGCACGGACGTAGGCGTGCCAACTTCGCATTTTTGCACAGATGTATACGAGTCAATTAGACATTCATAATACCGCTCGCAGTGTGTAGCCACGCGTTGCGTTTACTATTGTTTACATTGTATACATCGCACACTTTCCGGTAAACTGTTTTTCTTCATAGTGTTACATTCGAAATTACCGTGTATTTAGCGGTTTTCTTTGGATTTTTTTTACTGATGTTACGATGGCACCTGCTGGAAAACGTCAACGTGTGTTTAGTGTAGAGGAGGCTCGAGATCTTGTTACTATGGAAGCATGGAGCATGGACTCTGATTCCGACGAATCGAGCAGTGACGAAGACTCTAGTGATAAAAGTGTTCCCTGAGAGTAGACTGATAGAATAAGAATGAATAAAAATTAATGAAAGAGCTAGAGATGACAGCAAGAAAGAGAGTAGACTGATAGAATAAGAATGAATAAAAAAAATGAAAGAAGGAGATAGAGATGACAGCAAGAAAGAGAGTAGACAGTGATAGAATAAGAATGAATAAAAATAATGAAAGAAAGAGATAGAGATGACAGCAAGAAAGAGAGTAGACTGATAGAATAAGAATGAATAAAAATTAATGAAAGAGCTAGAGATGACAGCAAGAAAGAGAGTAGACAGTGATAGAATAAGAATGAATAAAACTAATGAAAGAAAGATGTATCCTGTCTTGCCGTCATCTTTATATCTTTCTTTTATTATCTTTATTCATTCTTATGCTATCAGTGTTTACTCTCTTTCTTTCCGTCATCTCTATCTTATTATTATTATCATTTTCCTATCTATATGTACCCTATGTCTTGCCGTCATCTGTATATCTTTTTCTTATTATCTTTATTCATTATTATGCTATGAGTGTAATACTCTCTTTCTTGCCGTCATCTCTATCTCATTATTATTATCATTTTCCTATCTATATGTACCCTATGTCTTGCCGTCATCTCTATATCTTTCTCTTATTATCTTTATTCATTCTTATGCTATCAGTGTTTACTCTCTTTCTTTCCGTCATCTCTATCTTATTATTATTATCATTTTCCTATCTATAATTATGTACCCTATGTCTTGCCGTCATCTCTATATCTTTCTCTTATTATCTTTATTCATTCTTATGCTATCAGTGTTTACTCTCTTTCTTGCCGTCATCTCTATCTTATTATTATTATCATTTTCCTATCTATATGTACCCTATGTCTTGCCGTCATCTGTATATCTTTCTCTTATTATCTTTATTCATTCTTATGCTATCAGTGTTTACTCTCTTTCTTGCCGTCATCTCTATCTTATTATTATTATTATTTTCCTATCAATATGTATCCTATGACTTGCCGTCATCTCTATATATTTCTCTTATTATCTTTATTCATTCTTGTGCTATCAGTGTTTACTCTCTTTCTTTCCGTCATCTCTATCTTTTTATTATTATCATTTTCCTATCTATATGTACCCTATGTCTTGCCGTCATCTCCATATCTTTCTCTTATTATCTTTATTCATTATTATGCTATCAGTGTTTACTCTCTTTCTTTCCGTCATCTCTATCTTATTATTATTATCATTTTCCTATCTATATGTACCCTATGTCTTGCCGTCATCTCTATATCTTTCTCTTATTATCTTCATTCATTCTTATGCTATCAGTGTTTACTCTCTTTCTTTCCGTCATCTCTATCTCATTATTATTGTTATTTTCGTATCAATATGTATCCTGTCTTGCCGTCATCTTTATCTCTTTCTCTTATAATCTTTATTCACAGTAAAGTCCTTTCATTTCATATCACTATTTCTCTCTCATAATGTCTCTCACGTCCGTTCTCCATATTTTATTCATTGCATACTCCACTCGTCAATCATTTCTGATAATAAGCTCTCTCACAATAAAGTAAATGGAAAACAATGCAATATAGTTTATATTTTAAGATTGATTCATTCTTTCTTTGTATATCTATGGCTGTGATAAATGTACTTGAAATCAATTTTATTGAGGGGTAAAGAAGGTGAGAGAACAGATGCGGTGAACATTCATAATGAGACATTTCAATAAGATGCTGATTATGTCATGTATATCACATATAATATATTATGCCTATACCATTTTTACATGCTCATACCAGTGGGCAAAATCAATAACATTCTCTTATTTCTTATTGACTTATCATGGCACAACAAAGAAAAACATCCCCACGACGTCCCTTTTCATGCCCCGCTAAACCGGACATTGACAATAACCTGGGGTAATAGGGATTTCAATGGGCAGATTAGCCCATTGTCAAGGGTGGCTGAGCGGGGTACTTTCAAGTCTCTCCCTATTGAACTTCTTTTCTTCAACAACCTAAATACTAACCTTCTGAATTGTTAGAATACTTGAGCAAGGTATGTAAAGAAAGGTAAGAAGTCCACCTTTCTAATAGATTCGATTTGAAGATGTCTTATCATTGCTAAATAAGAAATTCTAGAGGGATAAAAAACTGCCGTAAATAAGAAAAATTAAACATTATATAATTATGATTATTATAAAAATGATAATTCAAAATATAACAAATGACGGTTCATCGAAAAGCACGTTTTCCGGTCTACAACTTTGCTGCACAATATTTTTCATCATGATCATCCAGTGAAGAGTTATAGCCTCTTGATTCAGCAGAGTCAATAAAGATTCCCTCGAAATGTGTGACCCTAAAAGAATGTGGCACAGGGGGGTTTTTTAAGTGGCGCATAAAGAGTTAAATGGGATATAAATGCATACAATCATAAAATTATTCCCAAATTCTCACTCGTTTTCTGCCCTAGTTTTGAAATCCTGCTAGCGTAAACAAGTAGACCCCGGCCTTGTGTACGTGTATATACAATGCAATGCTCAAACATTCATGTATTTGAATTGTTTCTTGTCAGGTTTGACTCATTTCAGACTACAAAAACGTACACTGGGAAGAACCCAGGATAGAAGAGCATATTATATGAAGTGGGCCAGTTTAAATACAAACATTTTTAATAGCCTATGATTTGAACCTCTTGCATGCAAAAGTGTCTGGTTGTCTTTTCCTGTGTCAGTGTCTGTCCCTTCTTTGGTTAGTAAAGAGACCACTTTGTGCCCGGGACTATCTATAAAATTTGTCAACAATCTTCAGATTGCTACCAAGTTTTACAGGTAGTTAAAAACCAACTTCGTCAGCTGGGAAGCATAGATTGTTGTCTAAAGACAACATTGTCAACCAAGGTTTATCATGAGGTGAAAAGATATGAATGGAATTATGTCGCTGAAACACATATTTTAAAGCATTCAAAACTGAGAAATATCAGCCCAAAGAGGGAGAAAAAAAATCCAAAAAAACATTGACCAACCAACCCAGGTGCTGGCACCTAAAGGGCAATACTACATTTTTTTTATTTCTAGGCCTAATGGATTCAATCATACATGTATATTCAAATTGGAGAGAAATTGATGATGATCAAATGCTAGGATATCATTTAGTAAAACCAAAATTAGATTTAAATTGATTACATATATAGGCCCTAATAATTTGAAGACATTAGTGGGGTATTTTTTCCCGAAAGGTACTACAAGCATAACATTTTAGGCAGGGAAGATTTGATATTATAATGTCTCTATCATGACCAAGGTAGCAGGCAGAGGAAGAGGAGACACATAGTCCTACACTCCGTACCTAACACCCATCTTAATGACATCATTGCTTCATGAAATGTTATTTGTTGTTTTTATTTCCAGAAGTGAGAATATACAGGCCGTTTGATTATAAAGAAATGCAGGCCACAAACATTATTCATCTTTAAGATGTTCTAGAAAAAAAAAAATAGAACTCATCAATATTGCATTATTGTCGGATGGACACGAAAATTTACATGTTTGTAGATATTCACGTAACGAACAAGATGGTGTAATTAGTTTTTTTGTGAAAATGTAAATTATTGTCGTTATAGCCTAATTAATTATGCAAAATGCTAATTTTATGCATTTTACAGAAAACGTGTCAGACTCCACTTTTTGAATGTTGAAACTCATTATTCATATGAAACTTCTTTTTTAACACAAAATATTTATTTTGATGTAATTAATAATGATAATTTATGCAAATTTGATGCGATTTTCAAATATTTATTTTCTTATGTATTTTATTGTTTTTTTAATTTCTTATTATATCTATTGTTTTTATTTCTTATGTATTCTTTTGTTTTGGAATACATCAGGTTACTTTGAGAAACATATAAAAGCAATTTGATATCAATTCATATCACCCACTTAGGAAGGAATACATCTAAACCTGTTTTCACATTTCTGCTTGTACAGTACATGAATATATGCAATTATAGCACTTTTTGATGACATGCGCATACTAATAACAGGTAATAACAGGTATATTCGATTTCGACGAAAATGGTATCAAAATGTGCGTAAGACTTGAGGGAAAAAAGTCATGAAACGACGATTCAAAATTTCAAGCGGTTGCGGCGCAATCTCCGAAAATGTCGAGGGGGGGGGGCTCCCAGGCCACCCCCCCCCCCCAGTACAGTAAGGGTTAAATTATGTGCATTGTATATTTTTGATTACTGATGGGCGGATTTAAATATGGATAATTAAAAAAATAGCATACTTTGAATCAATGGAATGCCAGAAAGAGGGAGAAGAATCAATCTGAAGATGTCCATGTAATCTATTGTTATATCTTACCGAACCATGCATCACGGTGACAGTCACCTTGCCTTCACTGTTCACCTCAGAAACCAGTGGATCCAGATCCGCCTTGGTATGACACCCAATCAAACTATAGTAATAAAACAGTACATTTCGGGGGTATGATCTTTTGAACGAACCTGACGTACGATACTCTCTTAAAAAGCCATTAGATATGTATGCTATGTGGTGTGAGAATAGATAACAATTACACATCCAACATTGCATAATATTGCTCTGAATTTATATTGCATGACCGCAAATAACTATGGTATAACAAATTTGTATGTAGGATACATCATGATGAATAAGATAAAGTATTGATTTACATTTATAATAAGAAAATCATAGTGATATGAATAAGTCCTGAAATGAGGAGATCATCAGATTATGTAAACTATTGTAAAATCCCTGATACAGCACCCCATCATCTAATCTTTTAGACAACCCACTCATGTATGCACTTTCTTAACCATCTGAGATTTATTTCAAAACCTTAATACAGCTACCCCTGACGGTGACCCCGCATAAAATCAAATTCAGTGACAATGACGATACGTTGCTTGTTGGGCAGATTATTTTGCCAATTAAATTTCCTTTTGATATCAAGAACAAAATGTGTTAAATCAACGCTAGTTTTCCCCTTATGAGATCAAACATAATCAGGTATCCCATTTTTATAATTACCATGAAAGCATACGGCATAAGATATATGCTTAATACAGGTTTGTATCGTTCCGTAAAAAAAACTTAAAACCATCTCTTTTTAGAGAGTTATATTGTTTGATAGCAAAAGAGGCAATGATAAGGAGAATGAAAGAGAGGAAATGCTGGAAACAGAGTGGAAGGCAGGAATCAAAGAGAACTTACAAAAGAGAAAGAAAAATAATTCAACGAGAGGGACATAGAGAGAGGAAGGAGGGGGGGGTGGGCGAGAGAGAGGGAGAGAGAGAGAGAGAGATAGAGGTAGCAAATGAAGATAAGAAACTCACAGCAAAAGGTAAACCGAAAAAATTCCACAATAAATACAAGTAAGAGTTTGATTATACAGTGGAAATCGTTACCCTGGTAAATCAAATGAGACTCACTCTATGCTTGTCAGGTGTGGATGAGTCTTCATGAGTTGGATGACCTCGGCTGCCTTCTCGTTCTTCAGTGTAATGTAGAGAACAGACAGCTTGGTGAGTCGAGGACATGATGTTTTTACCGCATCACAAAATGACACAGGATCATTCAGTGTAGTAGATAATCGATACTTATCTCCCTTGATTTGAAGGTGAGTCAGATGATAGAATGGAGAGCAGGCCATTGTGATGATGTCTGATGAGACATTCTCCTTGTCCTGGTAGTTCAGTTTGAGTTTTTTCACTTGGGGACATGATGCATGAAGTCCAAGATTCCACAGGCTGATCACATGCCTACCATCCACAGTAAGCTCATCTACTGAGGTTGGACGAGTCTACAAGAAAGAGCGATGCAAAAAGGCTCACTATATACCCAATAAACAGAACACCAAAAAGTAACCTCTTTTGGGAGTGTATTTTAAGTGATTCTAAAGTATAGTGCCTTTTGAACTAGATTTAAACGTTATCGACACGTGCCTTCATTTAAACAAAAAAGGTACTCCTGTTCACGTTTTCATCTAACCTAAAAACCACCAGTTTATCACGCGACTGGAGTAACGGGATTCCACTTACCTCTGTAAATCAAGTGTTTATGACCAAATAACCACTTGACCAAGCAACGAGTTTTTTGTCAGTTAACCGATGGTGGCGATAAATACGTAATTATTTGGTCTTGTAAGCACCTTTATTGATTGGTTTCACAGGTTATCCAAGGTTGATGGTAATAATTACGTTACTTACACCGGCTAATCGTCTTATTGTTCTGTCCGTGAATCTCTGGTTATATTCAACTAGTCATTCTGAAGTGTCTTACACACCTCTTTAAAAGGTTTCAAAGTTACCATTAATTTCTTGGTTATGATCACGTGGCTCAAGCTGATTACTAATCTAAGCTGTGAAAACGTGATATGTAGGTGTGAAAATTAGTAATTATTAAGTGTTTTAAAACACCTTTTTAAATGGTAGTCAAAGTTGCCATAAGTTCCGCGGTGATGATCTCGTGACTCAAACGGATTATTGATCTAAGCTTGTCATACGTGACTTTTAGGTGTGAAAAATTAGTCATTATTAGGTGTCTTAAAACATCTATTTAAATGGTTTCAAAGTTACCATAACTTTCTTGGTGATGATCACGTAGTTAAAACTGATTACTAATCTAAGCTGTGAATCCGTGATATTTAGGTGTGAAAAATTAGTCATTATTAGGTGTATTAAAACACCTATTTAAATGGAAGTCAAAGTTGCCAATAAGTTCCGCGGTGATGATCTCGTGACTCAAACGGATTATTAATATAAGCTGGGTATTCCGTGTTTTCCATGTGTGAAAATGGGTTATTCTTGGGTGTCTTGATGGTTTCACAGTTACCATTTAAGTTCCGTTGTGATAATCCCGTGACTGTTGGCATATTTCTATGTTCACCAGTTGATAACTGACTGTTGGCATATTTTCATTGCACCAGTTGATAACTGGAGTGTGCATATTTCCAGTTGCACCAGTTGATGACTGAGCGTTGGCATATTTCGAGTTGACCCAGCTGACACCAATTCATTTGCATATTGAATATGGGGTGCGTGCAGATCTATGTTTTTTAAACAATCTATCTGAATTTACAGCATATTTCTTAATTACTAATGATTTAGTTATATGCAATTCATTTCGAAAATACTACAAATATAAATTACCAGTTATTAGGACATTTCGCTACTTCGTATAAATAGTTAAACATGAATAAGGGAAACATTAACTGTGAACTAAAATAATTTCAATAAAGTACAAGTATACGAATTTATTTCGATTAATTCAATTATGTAAGTCTATTTATTACCAATGCCCTTACATTGGACATACAGACGTACCAGCATTGAAGTATTGTTGCTGTTCAACTGGTTGGAAGTTTTAGCAAATGGTTCTAATGGCTCAGCTAGACCAGTTGAATTATAACTGGCCTGGATCAACTGGATCATTTAGCCCATTTCAATTTCCAGGGTTACCAGTTGGTATTAAATGGTTCATCAACTGGACCAGTTGCAACTAGCTTTCTCTTCTGGGATGTTTGCACCCCCCCCCCCACCCAACCCCCTCTAATCCCAAACTGCTTCCGGCGCGCCTGGACGTAATTATGGAAGATCCACGACACGATGTTCAGAAACGGGATGAGAACGTCATTATTTTGGTTCATTTATTGTGTAACATTTGCGTAATTATTGGGTTGAACGCGGGATACAGTAACATACTTCCTCTTCGACGTAAATTTTACGTGAATGAAGAACATAATTCATCTCAAGTCAGCCTCGTAATATTCACGTGAATTTCACGCAGATATTCTGACTAAAACTATCACTAACGCTTCACGTGTTTCTGTGACGCGATAATTTCGTGTATGAAGATGTAATTTCATAACCAAACAAACACGGGAGTATTAGGTTTACAAACCATGGTCTCCAAGGTAGGGATAATCACGTTATTATAATGGTGATATTGCAGTGACAATTGCGTGATTTAGTGTTCGTGTGTTTTAAGTTACCTAATGCAAAAAACGTATTAACACATTTACGTAAATGTCCGGTGTTTGAAGAACGTAACTCTCTTCAAGTCGATACCTTGATATTGACGTGATTTTCACGTGATTTTGTTTATTGGGTATGATATGAATGGAAACTAATGCTGATGTAAGAAATGATATTGAAGTGTATTGCCCTCCATTTAAATAGAGGTTTGTTTATCATGAGACTTTTTTTCAGTATTTTGGATACAAAATATAAAAAGAGGATTTCTCTCTGTATGGCATAACACATCATGATCGCATTGACAATATGAGTTTTTGTATATCATTACCATTATCGACATCCAAAATTTCTTAATGTTTTTATTCTTTTTCCGCTTTTTCTGAAACCTTCGTTAAATTTTTTCTTTATTTTGTCTGTTTCCACCAACATTATTATTCGAGGGTTAATCCTTCCATTTCGGTGGAAGATGACGGGATTTTAGTATTTATTATCATCTTTTTTATTGTGATATTAGTTCAGTGTTTATAAGGTCACCTAGACTAACGAAAAAAATCAATCAAATGACTTCACTTTACTGAATTTGATAATGAAGAAAATAAGCAACAGGATTCTCCATGGTAAATAACAAATGGCAATCATTTATCAATTGATATTTAACAAGCTTTAAAAATATGTGCAATGTTAAACTTCATCCCAAGATGAGAAAAACTATAACAGTGCACGTATATATATTTGATAAATAACACCATCCATCGATTTTCTAAACAACCCATAGTATGTCGTTTTAACTTGATTTCAAAACAAAAATACACTATCCTTTTGGCAATTCTTTCATCATTCATATTTAGTCTCTTCAGGTTTTTTCTGAACGCCTTCCTTTTGAGCTTGGAGCAAAAAGAGGATTTTGAATTCAATATTGGAACAGTAAAGATACAAACCAGTGTCTCTCCATCGTCTATGTCAACTTGTCTGATATCCCTCAAGGTGAGTGACTGGAGGCGTGGTAGCGAGAGAATGGAGAGTAGTCTCCGTGGAGTCATCATGGAAACATCCTTAACACTCAGCGTCTGGATCTGTGCCAAGACAATTTATCCAAAATCAGTTTACACCAAAGTGAAATCCCCGATGCGATCCAATTATTGTCTTTACTAACATAAACACCATTTTAAATCATAGCTAATATCAGATGAATCTGCATCTCAGTAACTTTATCATTCACTGAGTCTGATTATGTTGTCTCAATTTCTGCTGCACTTTAAATAAAACAATGTACCGGTATTATAATAAACTAGAAAGCATTTCAATATGCATGGCATGATGTATTTCAAAAGAGGTACTTAAGCTATTGTATCGGTGGGAAGATATTACATCAAAATGATATCTTATGGGATCATATCACTACAAATACCGCGTCTCCAGAAGGTTCAGAATCTTGCAGCAAAGCTGATAACTTGGCCCGTAAGCGCGATCATGTCGCCCCGTTGATAAAAGAACTACATTGGCTTCCAATCAAGCAACGCATTGTGTTCAAGATCCTGACGGTTGTCTACAAGTGCATCCAAAACAAAGCTCCAGTGTATCTCAACTCTCTCATCGTACCCTACCAATCTGCTCATCCTGGCCTTCGCTCTTGTATTGACAGCCAGGGGCGTACGCAGGGGGGGGGGGGGGGGCTTAAACCCCCCCCCCTCCTTCAGTTTTGTTTTTACGTGTATGTTTTTTGAAGAAAAAAAAACCCTTATGAGTTGTAATTGTTTTGTTTTTTTGTTTGTCCAAAAAAAAAATTAAAAAAAGAAAAATGTCCTCTTACTATTTTTGTTTAGTTTTGTCCGTAGTTTTGTTGTTGTTTCTATTTTGGATATGTTTTTTATAATTTTTTTTTTACAAACGGCTATGAACCAGGGACACGTAGATAGCAAAGAGGGCAAATTTTCCTATCGTGGGAGGGGCATTTGTTCACTTCGAAGAAGGCACTTCCTGTCGGAGGAAGGACACATGTCTCAATTTTGCAAATTGTGGGATGATGTATCATAACCTGACCCCGGTCACGCTACCCCTGTCGGAATGATACACATTTCTTTATTCCCATATATATATTTTAAAAAAGATGTGTTTGTTTTTGCATTATACCCGATTTCACTTTGACCATTGTTATCTAAAGTGAATTAAAAAATATAGCTATCATCACAAGAAAAATAATGTGTAGTTCTAAAGAATTTTTTTTAGAATGACTCAAATGACTGAATGTGAGAATCGATTGAATTTATATAATCATGACACTGAAGTCAATTCTATTCAAATGATTCACCTTCATGATTAAAAGCATGGTCAGATAACTGTTTTAAAATGAGCGTGGTTTCGACTATTAACCAAACATTATTTTGAAAAAAAGGATGAATTAATATTATGTTTAGTTTGGAGAATGCAATATAGAAACTTATGAAGGAAATCGTTTCCAATAGCAGGGAGAGAGAAAGAGATAGAGAGATAGAGAGAGAGAGAGATAGAGAGAGAGAAAAAAACAAGGGACATTGCTGTGGTACGAACAAAAAAAGACAAATAAATGTCTTAAATAGTATTGAAAGTCAATTATATCGTTATTAGCATAATAGTGACTATTGACAATAAAATGATTTCTATTTCTTTTTTAAATGTGAAAAACATTTATCCACATGTGTTCAGTTTGAAGTTTGCAAAACTATTGGGGGAAAAAATGATTCCAATACAAATCGTGTTTGAGTATACCTTTGATTTTGATGCCTCAGAGGCCATCGTTAAGTAGAACTCATCACTCAGCTCTACACTGTACAGACACAGTGATCGAAGATGAGGCATGAAGCAGAGACCTCTCGCGTAATGAGAGGATGCAGCAGAACCCAGATCTGCTTCCCGGTGCGTTACCTTCTCAATCTGATGATGTGACAGGACAGGTTGAATAGAGTGAATAGTATTATCAAGAAAAGACGACATGTCTTATTTAAATATTTGTCATTGTCATTAATGTAACATCATTAACCTCTAAATAGACTTTTAAAGTAAGGGGACAAGAAAAGAAGGGAAAAAGAAAAGAAGGGAGAGAGAGATGGAGAGAGAGAGGGGTTGAAAAGCCCACTGAAGGAAAATGGGGGGTTGTAAGAGCAATGAAGATGAGATGAAGAAAGACAAACAAATGTGATTAATTATGAATAGTTAGAAAAGAAATGGAGTATCTGATCAAGCAGAATGATAAAGATGCTATTTCTTTCTATTTACAGTGTACATGTAATATCTCTTTGAGACTATTGACAAACTATAAATAATTTCTAAAAACAAAATGCAAAATTCTATTTATAGGATACATGCTTTAAAAACACACATTTATATGAATTCATATCATTATGACATTAAAACTAGTCTATTCACTCATGCTTCTTATTATCAGTATTGTACAAGTTTTATATTGATATGAGGATAATTGTGACTAATGACAATTAATTATTTCTTCTTTTTGTTTTAATGTGAAAAGCATTTATCGACATAATTATGTTCAGTTTGAAGATTGCAAAAGTATTGGGGGGGAAAAATGTTTCCAATACAAATCGTGTTTGGGTATACCTTTGATTTTGATGCCTCAGAGGCCATCGTTAAGTAGAACTCATCACTCAGCTCTATACTGATCAGATTCAGTGATCGAAGATGAGGCATTGAGCAGAGACCTCTCGCGTAATGAGAGGACGCAGCAGAACCCAGATCTTCCTGCGAGTAATAATGATGTAGCTTCTCGATCTGGTGATGTGACAAGACAGGTTGAATAGAGTGAATAGTTATATCAAGTATAAATGTCTAATTTAAATATTTTTCATTGTCATTAATGTTACATCATTATACCCTCCACTTAGTCTTTTAATGCAAGAGAAAGAGAAAGAGAGAGAGAGAGAGAGCAAAAAAAACAGAAGAGGGACAGAGATAGAGAGAAAAAGGCCAAAAGTGAAATGGGTGTCACCGTGTGGTAAGAAAAAAAAACACGAGATGAAGAAAATCGAATGTGATTATGAAAAGTTAAAAAAAAAAAGAGTGTTTCTGTTCAATCAGAATAAAGATGTTATTTTTTCTATCTACAGCGTACATAAAATATCTCCTCGAAACTAATGACAAACTATAAATTATTTTCTAAACCACACATTTATATGAATAATTATTCACATAGTTCATTTTTCTTGTTGTCAGCATGTTCACACTATCATATTGATATGAACATGCTTCTGACTCATGACAATAAATCATTTCAAAAAACGTGCAAAATACTATTTATAGGATAAGTGCTTTTAAACACGCCTATAGATCTGAGAGGTAGTGCGTTTGCTTCTCAGTCTGGCGATGTGACAGGACAGGTTGAATAAAGTTAATAGTAATATCAAGTATAGACTACATGTCTAATTTAATTATTTGTCATTGTTATTAATGTAACATCATGAACCTCTACTTAGACTTTTAAAGCAAGGGAAAGAGAAGAGAGAGAGAGAGAGAAAGAGAGAGAGAGATTGAAAGAGAGAGAGAAAGATACAGAGACAGAGAGGAGCTAAATAGCCCAAGAGAAATGTGGGTGGTAAGAGCAATGAACGACGAGATGAAAAAAGACAAAAAAATGTGATTAATTATGAATAGTTGGAAAAAAGAGACAGTGTCTGTTCAAGAAGAATAAAGATGAAATTTCTTTCTATTTACAGCATACATATAATATCTCCTTGAGACTTTTGACAACTATAGATAATTTCTGAAAAGTTAATATGATATGTGCTTTAAAAAGAGGCATGTATGTGAATTGATATCATTATCACTTTAAAATCCAGTCTATTCACATGACTCATGCTTCTTATTATCAGTTTTGTAAGAGTATTATGTTGATATGAGCAAAATAGTGACTAATGATACTAAATTGATGTCTATTTCTTTTTTAAATGTCTATTTCTTTTTTAAAAGTAAAAAAAACATTTATCCAAATATATTCAGTTTGAAGATTGCAAAACTATTGGGGGATAAATATTGTTCCAATAAAAATCGTGTTTGGGTATACCTTTGATTTTGATGCCTCAGAGGCCATCGTTGAGTAGAACTCATCACTCAGCTCCACAATGTCCAGTCTCAGTGATCGAAGATGAGGCATGGAGCAGAGACCTCTTGCGTAATGAGAGGATGCAACAGAACCCAGATCTGCTTTACTGTGCGTTAGCTTCTCAATCTAGTGATGTAACAGGACAGGTTGAATAGAGTGAATTGTATTATCACGTATCGACGACATGTCTAATTTAAATATTTTTTAATGTCATTAAAGGTACTATGTCCCTTTTGCAGCCAACCTCAAATTCTGTAAAACTTTGCAGGAATTATGAATATGTCATGTATGTCCTATCTGTGAAATTTAAACGTTAGCAGTGTCCTCATATTAAAATTATGCAAGGAAACCTGTTTACTTGCTAGACTTCAATGTCAGACACTAATGAGTGACTGGCTGGCTTTTTTTCTTCCTTGGTAATAACATACATGAAAAGAGTTTTGTAAAGGGTACATGAGCATTCGTCTACATCAATAACCCACTTCTTGTGATGGCCAAGATTAAACTGATTGAATCTTTGCGCAGCATAAAACGTATGACCATTCGGTACAATCGTCTGAAAATCAAGACTATTACTTTTGGGCTCTATAGCCCTAAAGTCGATTTGACAACTAAAAGTCATTATTTTCCCACTTGAAGACATTTTCACCCACCTTTTTTAGGGAAGTTCTAAATTAGTATTATTTTTCAAATGCAGTTGGAATTTAACTTTTTCATTTTTTTGGCTTGCAAATGGGAAATAGTACCTTTAATGTAACATCATTAACTTCTACTTAGACTTTTGAAGCAAGGGAAAGAGAAAATGAGAGAGGGAGAGAGAGAGAGAGGGATAGACAAACAGACAGAGTCAGAGATAGAGAGAAAAGGTCCAAAAGTGAAATGGGTGTGGTAAGAGAAAAGAAACACGAGATGAAGAAAGTCCAATGTGATTAATTAAGAATAGTTGGAAGAAAAAAAGAGAGTGTTTGTTCAAGCAGAATAAAGATTGTTATTTCTTTCCATCTACAGTGTACATGTAATATCTCCTTGAGACTATTTACAAACTATGAATATCATCACAAGAAAATAATGTGTCGTTCTAAAGAAAAAATCTAGAATGACTCAAATGACTGAATGTGAGAATCGATTGAATTTATATAATCATGACACTGAAGTCAATTCTATTCAAATGATTCACTTACATGATTAAAAGCATGGTCAGACTATTGTTTTATAATGAGCGTGGTTTTGACTATTAACCAAACATTATTTTGAAAAAAAGGATGAATTAATATTATGTTTAGTTTGGAGAATGCAATATATAAACTTATGAAGGAAATCGTTTTCAATAGCAGGGAGAGAGAAAGAGAGACAGAGAGGGATAGAGAGAGAGAGAAAAAACAACCAAGGGACATTGCTGTGGTACGAGCAAAAAAAGACAAATAAATGTCTCAAATAGTTGAAAAGGAGACCTTGTCTTGTCAAGCAAAATAAAATGTTATATCTGTGTATCTACTGTGCATGTAATATCTTATTGGGACAATGAATAATCCACACACAAAAAAGCGGAATACTAGGCCTATCTACAGGATATCATATGCGCTTAAAATTATGCGTTTATATCCGTCTATTTATATGCACATTTAAAATCAATTTCTGGCGACTATCGACAAAATTTAAATAATTTCTAAAAATATATAATGCGAAGTAGTATTTGTAGGAAACCTGCTTTAAACATATGCATTTATACGAATTGATATCATTATCACATTAAAATCCAGTATATTCACATGACTCATGCTTCTTATTATCAGTATTGAAAGTCAATTATATCGTTATTAGCATAATAGTGACTACTGACAATAAAATGATTTCTATTTCTTTTTTTAAATGTGAAAAACATTTATCCACATGTGTTCAGTTTGAAGTTTGCAAAACTATCGGGGAAAAAAAATGATTCCAATACTAATCGTGTTTGAGTATACCTTTGATTTTGATGCCTCAGAGGCCATCGTTGAGTAGAACTCATCACTCAGCTCTACACTGTACAGACACAGTGATCGAAGATGAGGCATGAAGCAGAGACCTCTCGCGTAATGAGAGGATGCAGCAGAACCCAGATCTGCTTCCCGGTGCTTTAGCTCCTCAATCTGGTGATGTGACAGGACAGGTTGAATAGAGTGAATAGTATTATCAAGAAAAGACGACATGTCTTATTTAAATATTTGTCATTGTCATTAATGTAACATCATTAACCTCTAAATAGACTTTTAAAGTAAGGGGAAAAGAAAAGAAGGGAAAAAGAAAAGAAGGGAGAGAGAGATGGAGAGAGAGAGAGAGAGAGGGGTTAAAAAGCCCAAGGAAAATGGGGGGTTGTAAGAGCAATGAAGATGAGATGAAGAAAGACAAACAAATGTGATTAATTATGAATAGTTAGAAAAGAAATGGAGTATCTGATCAAGCAGAATGATAAAGATGCTATTTCTTTCTATTTACAGTGTACATGTAATATCTCTTTGAGACTATTGACAAACTATAAATAATTTCTAAAAACAAAATGCAAAATTCTATTTATAGGATACATGCTTTAAAAACACACATTTACATGAATTTATATCATTATGACATTAAAATCTAGTCTATTCACTCATGCTTCTTATTATCAGTATTGTACAAGTTTTATATTGATATGAGGATAATTGTGACTAATGACAATTAATTATTTCTTCTTTTTGTTTTAATGTGAAAAGCATTTATCGACATAATTATGTTCAGTTTGAAGATTGCAAAACTATTGGGGGAAAAAAAATGTTTCCAATACAAATCGTGTTTGGGTATATCTTTGATGTTGATGCCTCAGAGGCCATCGTTGAGTAGAACTCATCACTCAGCTCTATAC